CCCGCCCCCTACCTCCCGCCGATGTCTCCTGGGGTGGGCAGCACTCCGGAGGCTGTGGCCGCGCGCGAGGCCCGTGCCCAGGCGGCCGCCCCGCCCCCCGTCTCCAGCCCCGAGTATGATCCCATCCTGCCGGTGAAGGAGCTGGTCACCTCGCAGTCTCTGCCGAGCGAGACCTACCAGCCGGAAGCCTGGACCCCGGGGAAGCCCAACAAGCAGTAGAGCCGCGCGCGCGCGTTCCTGCGAGCATCTGCCCTGGCGCTTCGTCAGCTTCTCCTTTTCGTCCTTCTCCTCGTCCCGACTGGGGGGTCTCTGCCCGTCCCCGTTGCCAGCTTGGGTGTGCCCCTTCCTGCCCCGGCTCCGATCAAAATACACATACCTTTAGACCAAAACCCGGGCATGCGAGAGGAGCGTCTCCCACCGTCTGGCCAAGGGAAAGATTCAGGGGGGGGGGGGGAGGCGCGGACGCGCGGTTCGACAAACACGTTCGCAATCTGGCCCCCGAAAGTGCTCGCAGACGTGGATCGCGCTCCGGCAGGGCACAGGGGGCCTCGGTCGGGGTGTGCTGCCAACGCAGACACACGCTGAACACCAGATCGCCGGCCAATCGGCCCGGCAGCTCGTCCCGGGGTGATAGCTCTTGGCGCAGGGCGGGGCGTGGATCACGGCCGAATGTCATGTGAGGTCATTCTGTGGGAATCTTAGCCACAAGGTGGACTAGTCCCCCCCCCCCCGGCCCCCCCCGCCCCCTGTTTGCACTTGGCAGCCTGGGGTCTTCTTCTCCCCTTCACGTTTGCTTGGTCGCCGGGTCCCTGTCGAGACAAGCTCGCGAGGATGAGGCCCGCGATCGCGTGAGCAACGGCATGTCGCTCTTCAGGATGCGTGTCGCCGCCTTTGTGGGGATTCGACTCCCCATGCCTCCCTCTCTCTCCCCCCCCCCTCTCCCTTTCTTGTCACCCTCCTGCACTCTGCTTGCCCCTGCCTAGCTCCGTGCCCATGGTTCTTCCGTACAAGCGCGCGCCGCGCCTCGCCACCCTTCTCGTGGCCTGGCCGTGGCCTGGCTGGCCTCGTTGCTGGTCCTGCCGGCGCTGGGACTCGCTGGTGACCCGGTTTACTTTGTGGCCAAGATTGTGCGCCCCCTCCCGCATGGTGCATGCCCTGCCACTTGTCGGTACACTAACCATGTCTGTGTGGTGTCACGGCCTTGACACGCGACACGCGGCACGCACAGTTCCCCCTCTGGCTGGTTGTCACGTTCGGCGCCTACTCGGGGATTTCCATCGGCTGGGCCCTCTTCATGCTGGAGGATTGCCCCAAGGCCTATGTCCACACCCTCAATGTTCGTGTCCTTCCGGGCAAATGCCCCGCCCTCTTGTCCTCTTTTCTCTGATGCAGCGGTCGCTCCCCCGAGATGTCCCTCTCTTTCACACACACACACACACACACACCCTCTGCCTGCTGTTGCCTGACTTGCTCCTTCTCACAACGCCATGCTTCCCCTTTCCGTTCCTCGCGCAGGACATCCTGGCCGCCCGGTCGGATTTGGCCAAGATGGGTGTCAATCTGGATGCCGGGAAGGTGCCCACCGAGGCCACCGAGTAGAGGCCACCTCCTTGCCCTGGCCCCTGCACATGTGCGCGATCCTCACATCAAATACACCTTTACACATCCTGCGAGGGTGTTTTTTTCTGCCCCCCTGCTCGCTGGCAGTCGTGTAGGGCAAGTATAAAGATGCAGGCGGCAGGTGGAAGCGGAGACAGACAGCGGGGCAGACAAGGGAGAGGAGGCGTAGTTATCAGTGTATTTTTGTCTTTTTTGTTTGTTTGTTTGTTTTTTCCCTTTTCGCCCACATCCAGGAGCGCCTTGTCAGCAGGCGAGCCGGCGCATGGCGGAACGCGAGGGTGTGCCGTGCGCTCCCTCAAATGAGGCAGATGTAGCGGACCAGCTCCAGCGGGAGCCGCGAGATGGGGCCCTCGCGGGAGATGGAAGCCGCAGTGAAGAACAGCTGCCGGTACGTGTGGTAGAGGTGCTGGGAAAGCCGACAGCCGAGCAAGGAGAGGTCAGAGTGGGGACAGGGGAGCAGGACTCACGCGAGCGAGGGCGTACGTTGCGCGCAAGGCGGCGGTGGATGATGTGATGGATGTTGCCCTCCATTGTCACACAGGGCAGGCGGGCGGAGGAGGACGAGGCAAGAAACGAGAGGGCGAGCTGGCCCAAGGGCGACTTGCAAGGGAGGAGCACGAAACGCAGGGAAGGGAGGGGGGGGGGGGAGGAGGGCGGGGATGGCTGGAACTGCGCATCAGGTCACTGGTACCATCCTTTCTGATCACCCACTGGCAAAAGGGCACCTCCTCGGGGCAGCTCCAAAGCAGGAGCAACAGCAGCAGCAGCAGCAAGGCCCCATCTCACTTACACACACGCACAAGCCCAATCGATGATCCTCCATGCCCCATCGGAAGGCGGGCGGGGGAAAATGGAACGGGACGGGGAGACGTCCGAACGAGGATCACACGCCTCTTCGAGGCATGCCGGCATCCGCGTGGCGTGATCAGTCATGCAATTCTTGCAGCTACCAACGCTTGGCGCCTGCCCCGACACCCGACACTCCAGGCCCCGGGCCTGGGCCATACACACCCCCGAAGCTGCGGCGCCGGCGTCGTTTGTTTATTCCCTCTTCTTGGAGGGGGGGGGAACACGACAGCCGGCTCGCACATTGTCGGATCCTGCCCGAGAATCACATCGCTGCATTTCAGCTACCCCACAATGCCTAGATGTGGTATTCCAGCTGTTGGCCGTCCCTATGCGCCGCAGTCACCAGGGGGGAGGGGCGGGGGAAATCCGACGTGGAGCAGTCAAGAGGCGGAGATGGGTCAGAGATACAGAGAGAAAGGGATTGAGGGAGCGGGGGGCGGGGGGGGGGGAGTGAGAGTAAATGGGTCATGTGCATGCCACCCCCGTGAGTGGGAAGAGCACGCGAACGGCAGAGAGCCGGGAAAACGGGAAATGGGCCAGGATGAGGGGATGGGAATGCGCACTTGCTCCACGCCGCGTAGCCCAGATCCACGATGCTGGCCATGGCGGCTTGGCACTCGGAGAGCAGGTCACAGGGGGCCTGCACAGGGCTGCCACTCTGGTTCGGGTGCGCGAGCTCAAAGGCCGCCAACGCCTCGGCGGCCGGGATCGAAGGCGAGGCCCGGCAGAAGGACCCCATCGCGGACCAGTATCGGCGGTTGGCACGCAGGGCAAAGGCCAGGGAGCTGGGACAGCCGGGCCGCCGCTCGAGGCGTCCCTGGAGCTCCTCCGCCCATGCGCCCATGGCCAGGACCAGCGACCGGTCGGCGAAGGGGATGGACGACGACGGGCTCGCCGGGCCAGCAGCACCCAAGGCCCCCCGGAGGCAGGCCAAACGCAGGAGCTCCCGGCCCCCGGCCGGGGGGGGATCCAGTGCGGCCACCTCCTCCGCGGAGGCCTCCTCCAGTCCCAAGCAGACTAGGGTCGCGCGCGACCGGGAAAGCTGGCGCTCGGCCTTCAGGCGCCGGCACAAGCGCGACTCCATCCAGAAGCGCCGGTCACGCGTGGCCTCGGCCCGCGACAAACGGGCGAGATTACATCCGCCCTGCTCGGCCGGGGCCCCGGTCGCCGGCGCCAGCACCCCATCCGACAGCACAGGCGCCAGCCAGCCCAAGAGATGGTGATCCACTTCCGAAGGGCCCACAGCGGGGGACAACTCGGGGGGGGGCTCCCTCCGGAGAGCCACGCGCGAGGGGCCCACCATTGTGGCCAGGCCCCGAGCCAGCAGCGGGCCAAGTCGAAGGCGGAGGTCGGCCTCGGACAGGCGCATCGTGTGGGAGAGTTCCTGCGGAGAGGGCCGCGCCGGCCGCAAGTCAGTGAGGGCCGATGGAAGGGGCAGCAGGAGAAAGGGGCTCGCACGGTCAACGTGCAGCCGGAAAGGCAACCGCCCCCGCGCTGCACATCCTCCAGCTCGACAAAGGGCCACTCAGCCAGGGAGAAGAGCACCGCCGCCGAGGCCAATGGGAGGGCGAAGTCCACGGGCGGCTGGCCACCGGGAGCCACCCGTCGGACCACGACCGACCCCTGGGGAAGAGGGGCCCGGGGTCCCGTCGCCCGGATGGTTAGTAACAGTCGAGACAAGGGCAGGGGGCTTGGCCAAGCTCGGCCCCTGGTAGCATGTGCTGCTGTGGGGCCGTCATACCAGGCGCGTGAATTGGAGGCGCCGGCCGGCGCGGGCCTGGCCCGTCGGGTCCGGCTCTCGGTCCCCGCCGCCGGCCCCGGCGAGGTCGTCCAGCCAGCGTGCCGTCTGTCGGAGGAGCTCGCACTGGGCGGCCCAGCCTGCCGAGCCGGCCAGGCCAAGGAACGGCCCTTCGGCCAGCGGGCTGAAGCTGAGCAGCGGCGAGTCCCGCTTGGACGGAATCAGCAGCACGGATGCCGGGAGCGTCTGGCCGGGGTCCCGGGCGGCCAGGAACATTCCGGCCCCGCGCCCGAGAAGCTGGCACAGAGCGGCCGGCGCCTCGGAGTGCTGAGGCGTCAGCTGACCCACGAACGGGGGACAAAGCAATCCGGAAGTTAGCAACATGCGCGAGGACCTGCATGGGGGGGGGGGCGGGGGGGGGGAGGCAAGAGCATCGGGGCCTTTCCTTGCTGTCTCCCACCAGGAGCCCAGCACGACATACATGCAAGCTGGCCAGGGCCAGTTGCGCGGCATCCGGGAAGCAGCCAGCCCAGCCGGCATGGTCCAAGGCCGTGAGGGGGGGGGCCGCTTCGGAGGCCGCCTGGCTGCTGCACTCGAGCGAGGGGCCGGAATCCCCGACGCCCGGTGGGAGGACACACCGGCGACAAGCAACCCCGGCCAGGACCGCACAAAAGAGGGCTCCGGACATCAGGGCGTCCAGCGAAAGCCCCGGGCCAGCTTGTCCCGGGGCCGTGGCCACCGAGCAGGCTCGCAGCACGGACACCAGCCAGGCGGACGTGGCTTCCAAATAGACAGCCGTGCCATTGTGCACAGACACCCGGGCCCGCAGCGCGCGCCCGGTCAGTGACTCCCCCGCGGCTGGCGCCTGTCCAGGGAGAAGCTGCTGCCCGCATGCGCACAAACGCTCGGCCCAAGGGCGCGGCCGGGCACCGGGGATGTCCAGCGACTGGAACAAGCGCACCAGCCCGGCAGTGAGGGCCTCAAGGCATTCGACGTAGTACGGCTGAAGGGAGGGCATCATGGCCTGGTGCCGGAATGCACGCGTGTGCGTGTGCGTGCGCGTCATCCATTGTAATCGGGTCAGTGGACTGCGGTAGGACAGCTCCGCTGGTCGAGGGGGCCCGTTCGAAGCACAGCCGGGCCCCCTGTTCCAAGGCGTACCTCTACCAGCTGGCCACGCGCCCAGTCAGCCACCTGGCGCATTTCCTGGCCGGTGCGTGGCTGTTGAAGGAACTGCTCGAAGTCCGAATAGGATACCGGTGCAAAAAAGGCCCCAATCGGGCCAAGCGACAGCAGGACTACCGCCGCGTGCAGACGCCCGGCACGCTCATTCAGCTGGACTGCACCCAGAGACGCACACACAGGGCGGGGTGCCAGGTAAGTTTGGAGGACCGCACATGCGCGCGCGAGTGAGACACACACAGAGAGCGAGCGAGCGAGCGAGCGAGCGAGCGAGAAGGAGAGAGGCCTTCATGAAGAAGGGACCCCGGACCAAAAACCGCCCCAGCCAGTCGGCAAACGCACCCAAACTTTCCAGGTCGGTCGCATGCGCGAAGTCCAGCTCCCGGCAGGCGTCCACCAGGCAGCCGGCCAGAAGCTGCACCAGAGGCCGGGCAAGGGGCCGTCGGAAGTGCGGGAAGGCGCCCGCCGGCGAGCCGGGCTCCTCTTCCCGCGGCGTCAGGACCTGCAAACCCAGGAGCAGGCCCCGACAGCAGATCTCCAGACGCCTGAGGGCCGCCCCGCATTCCGGACTCCCGGCGATGATCTGACGCAGGCCGCGCATTAGCCTGCCCGTGTCGTACAGCCGCCCGGCCGGGGCGCCGAGATGGGTGGTCTCACGCCGGAGATCCGCGGCCCAGGTGGACACAGGGGTGGTCGGGGCTTCCAGGACAGCCGCCAGCAGGGCACGGATTTCGCCACGGGCGGCCTGCGACAGATGTCAGGGCGGAGCGGGGAAAAAAAAAATCAAAAAAGGCAGGCCGCGGGGCTGACATGGAAACAGGCCGGAAGGGGGAAGCGAAAGGGAAAGAGCGGGAAAGGGGAAAAGCTCGGAGGAGGAGAACGGAACCCCTACCTGAAGAAGACTGGCCACATGGCCGGAGAGGGCATTTTCCAGCAGGGCCTGAGCCGGGTCCGCTCCGACATCGGCCCCGGGTGACTGAAGTGCCGCGCAAAGACGGGCAACGCGTTCCCGACGCGCGAGGCCGTCCAGCAGCTGCTCCCACAAAGACGGTCAGGGGTCCCGGAAGGGGAGCACGGAATTCGCGCAGGGCACTGAGCAAAGCACGCACACTGGTCGGGTCATCCAGCAGGCCAGCCACATCCGGCGGGGCATCTGCCGGGCCTTTGAGCAGCTCGCGGTTGAGGGCGGCACCGGCGGCAGCCAAGATGACCTGCACCGATGGAAGGGCGATCCCCTGCACTCCGCCGGCCGCTTCGGTGGGGGCACCGGCCTGGGCCTGACATAGAGCCTGGAAGAGGCCCTCCAAAGGGGGCTCGCCATGCGGGCCGAGCTCGACGAAAAGCGCCACACGCTGGGCAAGGTGCCGGCCTAGCTGGGTGCCGGTGCTGTCGAGGCAGCGCGGCCACAGGCCCTCATCGCGCAGTGCCAGCCCCAAAAGCAGGCTGGAAGTCCAAGCCCCCGAAAGGAGCGCCGGCCAGTCTGCACGCCGGGGCAGAGACTGCCATGTGCCAGCAGGCCGTCGGCCAGTCAGTCAGTCAGTCGGTCGGCCGGTCGATGGGGTGGCCGTAGCAATTCAAGACAAACACACCGATTCCAGGGCCACCACGAGGATCTCGGCGCCGGGGACACCGGACTCAATCAACTGGAACAGCCCCGGCAGGGGGCGAGGGGCTATGGGTCAGACACTCGGACGGGCAGGCAATCTCCGCATATGCCGGGTATCGGGCGTACGCGCTCCACAGCGGGCAGGCTGTGCTGGCCGAGCAGCTGAGCCGAGACGGCCAAAAGGGCCAGCAGGAGCGACGGCACAATGGCCTGTGTGTTGCCGGCCTGCAGCAGATGGGCCAGATAGCTGCGGCCAGCAAGCAGAGGGCGAGGGCGGGGCATTGCTGCGGGGTAAGGAAGAGCACGCGAAAGCCGGCTGAGAGGGGCGACCGGCGGAGAGGGCGAAGGAAGGGGAGCATACCCGCGAAGGAACTCGAATGCCGGGCCGCGGAAATGCTCATCCCCCGCCGGGTCGGCGGACACAGCAAACACCGGCAGGCTGGCCAAGATCTCGGCCACATTGGCATCGGGCTCCGAACTGGTGGGACCGGCGTCAGCAACAGAGCCAGAGCGGGTGCGACGGTGGCCCGTCTCCTGCGAGCCCCTGGTCGCGGTCTGCACAGGAGCCGAGTCGGCCAGCCAGACATTTAGCCACAGAAGAAGCGCCAGGTCGCGATCTGGCGCAAAGGGGCCGGCCTGCGCGTGCCAGGCAGCCGGGCAAGGTGAGTCAAGCACATGCGGCAGGGTGTGGCTGTCAGTGCTGGGCAAAGGGCAAAAGAAATCCCGCCCAGAGTCGTGGCTGCCTTGTGCCGGGGGAAACGCACACCAAGCCCGGCAACCTGCGCCACCGCTGACGCCACACTCAAGAAGGCCCCATCCAAGTTGGGCCGCGCATGGGGCCGGCCATCGCGCAGCGAGCCGGGTCCCGGCTCCCGGGAGCTCGCGAGGGGAACAAGATCGCCCGGGCGCAGGAGCAGCGTCCCGGCCACCGGCGACGGGAAAGGGTAGGACAGGCGCCCGGTGGCCTGATCAAAGACCAGCGGCGCCCCGCCGGCCGCCCGGGATAGCAGCCCGTATAGCGACTTCCCCGGCCGGAGAAGGGTGTCCACACCACGGAGATCGGACAGCCGGGCTGGACGCCCGGCTTCGGCCGAAGCAGCCGCCGCACCAGCAGCAGCCGTCCCCCAGATATGGCGACCGGCATCCCCGGCGGCCAGGAAGCCCAGCACATGTCCGGCGTCGATCGGGCCCGCTGGCTGGGGGTCGGGGTCATGGGGGGGCATTCACGGCAGGAGAGCGGCGCGCCAGACAGGGCAAGGATGAAGGACTGAGACAACCGGCGTGCGGGTGGAAGAAGGGCGCCGAGAGGAGGCGGGGGGGGGGGGGGGGGAAGAGAGAAAGGGGGG